TTTTTTTATCAACTTTTCAATCCAAAGAAAGGAGGTGGGTGCATGAGGTGACAGGACTTTAGGCCCGACGGCTCAGGTCGGGATTCCTGCCGTCGTCCTTTTTGTTTGCTGTATATATATTATATAGACATCAGAGTTGTGCAGGCCGACAGTCGGCCACATCAAGACACTTGCCACATCTTCTTGCTATGTGATTGATCAATCACAGACCAAGAAGATGTGGCAAGTGTCTTCTGCTAGCAGTGTGTTCTTGCTATGTGATTACAGCTTTTCCCATCTTTTTTCTTTTTTTAAGTTTTTTGTCCATAAGAAGAGAAAGCCCTTAGCAGTCTAACCCTGGCATAGCAGTCTTCGTGCTCCTTGCACGTGGATTTGACGCTCGACCATTAGCATCGTGGTGTATCCAACCAGACGGAACTCATGTCCTGATTACTATCATTCATTATTAGTCCTAAGGAAATTATAAAAGGATCATAACTTCTAGGCACGAACCATTCAGCCACCATACAGATAGTGAGGGGCTTTCAGCGTATAGAGTGCGAAGGAAACAAAAAAGAAAAGAAAGCCCACTTACGCGTCAATGCACGGCGGTGACCCTTCCGGCACGGGGAGTGTATCCGGCACTCTGCTGACATCTACAACCTTCTTCACTGGCTGCCAAAAAAAACAATAACTATTATTATTTATTAATAATTATAATCAGATTATTATTATTACAAACTAAGCTACCAGCCGGGCCACCCGGGTCAGCTTGTTTGCCCGGGTGGCCCGGTCGTGCAAGGACCATAGAAGGCCCCAGCAAAAAAAAAAAAAAGAAAAAAAAGACAATTATGTTATGCAGAAAATTAAACTGCAACTGTTGCCTCAGGGTCACATCGAAATTCTTTACCAATTTCAAAATTAAAAATAAATTTAAAAACATTTATTTTATTAACTTTTGGCCCAGTCGGGCAAGTGGCCCCGGGCCACTTTGGTAGCCTAGACTACAAATAAATAACTGAATGAATAACATCAGAAAGAACAACCAGAAAGGTCTTCATTTCTGGGCCCTCGACCCACTAGCATCGTTTAAAACGGTGTGTGGCATTCTTTTCTCATTTAAAAATGCATAAACAATGCTATTTTTCATTAAGGCAGTAGCAAAGAAAAGGACTCGAAAAACGAAAAATCACGGGACCTGGGATAGACATCATGACAGTACACCCTATGCATCCACACTTCCACCAACCCGGTACATCTGCATGCGAGCTTCCCGCCGGCCTGTTCGCAGTCTTCCACGGAAATCTCAATATTGAATATTGAATATTCTCAATTTCTGCAAAAAAAAAATTGCAAGGCGCAAAGCTTCAAACAC